GCACACAAAATAATAAAATTAAAAAAAAAAAAAGAAAGTGTTAGTTTGGAGGGACATGCCAGACTCCTAAAATAGGCCATGTTAAGTGGTCAAGTGCTGAAAATTGGGCTTTCTCTTGCCCTCACTATAACCATTTTTGGCAAAGTGGAACGTGGAAGAAACTTGTAGTGACATGAGCCTTTTAAAAAGGAAAGCATGGCCTTTATTCGTCCCCGGCCATTTTGTCAACAGCTGTTGGTGGAGGACCGGCCCACACCTACAATGCGAAGGTAGGAGCTGCGAAAAAGACAAAAAGGTCCTTGGAGTTGATCACCTTTAGGCTCCCACTTGTTCTGAAAAGTGGGAAATACATGCTGGGGTTTAAGCAGCCTCTGAAGATGATCAGGCAAGGAGAAGCCAGGTTGGTCATCCTCAACAACCGCCACCCAGCCTTGAGGAAATGTGAAAACGAGTACTAGGTCTTGTTGTTACCAGTGGCAATAATATTGAACTGGGCACAGCATGCGGAAAATACTACCAGGTATGCACGTTGGCTATCATTGATCCAGGAGATTCTGTTATCATTAGAAGCCAAAACAGCAACAGACAGAGGGGTGAAAATAAATCATGTAGTATTTTTCTTTATTAAAATTGGCCAGAGTTGGTTTTTGAAAAAAAGAAATAAAAAGGAAAGAATGAATATTGTTACTGGATGCTTGTTATGTGCTTTTCAGTGGACTCAGTTCCTCTAGAGGACAAACTAGAACTGCTCCATAGAGTTTCCTAGGCCGAAATGTTTAAAGGACGGCACTCTGGTGGCCAAGTGGATAAGGAGTCATGCTGTCAGACGAGGCATGTGGTTTGAATCTACCAGCTGTTCATGGGAGAAAGATGGGCAGTCTCCTTCCTTGGGATTTACTACCTCTGAAAACCCATTGGAGGCTCAGCTCTGAGCCTGTTTGATGGAATGTAATAGCCAAACAATAATCTTTCAAGGAACACGTCTCTCGGTTGCTGCTGGGTTTGTGCCACTGATTTTACAGTTAACAGGCAAGTTCTTAACCATAGTGGCACCAGGGCCCCGATACTGTTGTTGTTGTGTTAAAGACCATTGAGCTGAGCACGACTCTAGCAACCCTATGAACAAAAGACCTATGCCATAACTATTATAGTTTTTCTATATTCATAGAGTTTCCAGAGGCATGTGGTTTAGGAAGTGGATGCCACTCCTGCTTCCAAGCCTTTCTCAAAGTAGGAGCTTCACCAAACACTGTTCACAATGAGTAACCATTATGGCATTTGACACACCAGTGGTACAGTGTTTAGCATCAATCACAACAACCCCAATTGAATAGGTACAGCAACTTGACATACCAGTGCTGTACCACTTAGAAGAACATTCTTCCCAAACACAACACCAGGCCAGAGGGCCCAACTGCCTTTAAATACAAGGCCTGACCACCAGGTCATGCTTGTCTCTAGACAAGAGGCTTCCAGCCCACAGCTCATCATTAGCTAAACCCGGACAATCCAGTCAGCTCACATAGGATTATGGAAGAAAGAATAGCAAGCACGCAGTGCACACCTGACCCTCACCAGAACAAGAGAGCCCACCTTCCAGAATCCAACCTCGTCACACTTGAGCCTCCAGACTGGAACTTAGGGCTCTTAATAGGAAGTTTAAAGCCAGAACTCCAAACTTGTGCTACCAAGTTGGCTCCAACTACTGATGACCCATTGGCTTTCTGAGACTGTAAATCTTTATGGGAGGGAATTGCCTGCTTTTTTCCAGCAGAGTGACTTGTGGATTCTAGATCAGATAGTGTTACTTCTTGACATGTTACATGGTATACCACCAGGGCTCCTTTTACAGGAAGCTTTAAGTGTCCTGAAAAACTTCAAACTCAGACTTAATACAGTCGAGTCTAAAGTGACTTGTAGTTACCTTCCAGTGGATTTTCCAAATCTGTAAATCAGATGGGAGGAGATTGCATATCTTTCTCCTGAGGATCCCCTGGTGGATTTGAACCAGTGCTGGGCCCTGGCTGTGGAACACCAGTGCACTGACTGAAGATACAAGATGGCCTTGGGCTCTGCCATCTGCAGGTTTTTAGCGAGTCCCATTATCTTCTCTAGAACAGAATACCCTTGTTTAAAAGTGGTGTTCTGTAAAGTGGAGTCTGTGCCATCTCCGTATTGGACAGGTTGTGAGAGAAGTAAGATATAAAGTGGGAAGTAAAGGACTTGGGAGGTGCTGACACCATGGTAGGTGACATATGCTAACTCCTGTCCTTCTGAAAAGCCTTAGGGAAGTTTAGGGCATGATCCACATTATCATTTTTGGTAAGTTCTATTCTAGCAGAAGAGAGTGATTATGAACTTGTCTCATTTTACAGCCCGCCTCTGAGAAAGCAAAGAATGGTCGTGATACATGTAAGTATTTTTTTATAGCTTCTTTAGTCAGTTCTAAAATGGGTCCACTAACCTGTGGGAGCAAAATTACATGAGGGTGCAGAAATAGTTCACAGCTGAGTTGGGAGACCGGAGTCCCAGTTCTCTTTATGAGAGCCTGTGAAAGTTCCCTTAACCAACTTGTAATTTTGTTCCATCAACTTCAAAGCAGCTCATGACAAAACATGTTTTTTCCATTTGCAAAGATCAATTGTAGGGCTCAGATAGTAAAAGATAAAGAACTAAATAAGCATACTGAGATGGTGTTTTTAAAATCAAGATCACAGAAGACGGAAATTCTCCAGTCATATTGCCTTTATTTAATGCCACACTATTTATGTTATCATTTATACATAAGCTATCTAATTTCAATAACCTAAAGAATAGGTAATTATCTGGGTTTTTGTTTTTTTCTGGGGGAGATGATGACAATCACCCGTCACTTGCACTGTTTGCAGGTGACTCTCTGAGGCACTTGTATGAAATGTACTTTGATGACAATTTGCCTGACTTGTGTATTTCAGCCCTGGGGACTCCCAAAGAGTCCGAGAACACTCTTCCTATCCAAGTAGATTATGATGGCTACGATGCTCAGGTGTTCCGGCTGCCAGGACCATCCCGAGCGCAGCGCCTCGCCACCTGCAGGTTTTCTCTTAGATTAACTTTGGGGTTGAAATACAATTGCTTAGAAAGTGAAGGGAAGCCTTTGGCCTGGTAGAGGTCTTCCTCTAACTTAAACATGATATCTAAAACGCTTAGAAGAAAGCATGAAGCTAATGCTTCAAAGACCTGATTTTTAACGGTGGATTTTTAGATAGGACCAAAAAACAAAACAAAACATGAACAGCCAAAGACAAAATGGATCAATTGGACCCCATCCAAACTTTTCTGCAATGAAGGACTTTCTTGTCAAAGTGATGCGAAAGCATACCGATTGGGAGCAAGTTTGGGTGCCATCTAGTTGGTAAGGGTTTAATACTTAGTTCACTGGCAGTTGACCTTCATGTTGTTGTTATGTTCTGTTGAATCAAACTGACCCATACCTGACCCTCCTGCAGGTTTGCAGAGGCAGTATCACTCTGGAGGAGATTGCTTACCAGAGCAGCTGGTGGATTTGAACCATATGCCTTCAGTTTAGCTCCTTACTACTGTGCCCCCAGTGCTCCCCAGATCTTCATGAAGGCAGCCTTAAAGTCATTTGACATGGAAAAGAACCAAATGAAATCCATATTATATAACTCACTGGGGATTCTGTTTTCAGGCTCTTGAGCTCTGCTGTTTCTTGTGCTGTGAAGAATTTTTACACTGTTTCTAGCCAAGTGAAGCATTTCACAGATTCCAAGGACTGCGTCTTAGTGGTCTCACCCAGTGATCTTGGATTCTAGGGCCCAGAATTTCTTTTCAGTTTACTGATTCCCAGCAAGCCAGAGACTTTTCTTTCCTTCATGAACTGATAGCTGTTACAGTTATATGCTTGTTTTCTAGCCTTTTCCCTCCCCACATCGTAACTTTTCTCTTCAGAAGTCTTAGAGCTCACAAGAAGAGCTATTATAAGCAGCTGTCTGAAACATGGATGCTACATAGGGGCCCAGTTGTGCTTTGCTTCTGAGCACTAGAAAATATTCCAAGATTCCTGGTCTTATTTATTTTTTTTTTAAAAAAAAGAAAGGTGACAAGACCTGTCCTTTAAGACCCTGGTTGCATGTTCTTTGAGGATACATGCCATGTCTTTTTTTTTCACTTTTTAAAAAATTATTATACTAGTTTGTTTAAAAAATTCAAATACATTGTTTTTTGAGAAC